CTAAGTATTCCTTTATATGCGGTTCAGAGTTCTGGGACCAGCCCCTGAACCTGCTTGGTCAGGTATTCTGTGTTGTTGTTGGCGGAGCTCTCTGCTATACGTCCACCCGATCCGCCATCTTGTTTGTTGTCCAGATCAACAGGATGATTTTTAAGTTGATTATTTTATATAACCTGCGAATGATGGTATACATTTTGGCAGAAAAATGGTTCATCACCCTTGCTGTGTAGAGTTTTTGAGGCTATAAATCTTTACAGAAGATGAAAGGAGATGGGGATAGGATTCTTGTGGTACAATAGTGAATAATTACTATCAAGATTGACTGTGAGGGTTGGAGATGTAAAGGTAGACATTTTGTAGCAAAAGAGGGGAGTGGTCGACTTTGCAGCCCAGGAGTGAAGGTCCCTGGGACCATCAAGGGAGAAGAGCAGAGTGCAAGACCCTACCCAGAGAAACAGTGATGCCAGAATGGAGGCAAAGATGATGACATGGAGAGGTAGAGTGGCTGGAGCTCTAGACCCAGAAAGGGAGAGGGGCTGTATACTGATGACCGTGGGGCAGGCTTGCAAGGGGTGGGAGGGATACCTTTTGTTTAGTTGATGATGCATGGAGGGGATTTTAACCATGGCAATGAAATGATATACGATAGGATGAATGTACAGCTAATCTTCTCCATGTAAACTATCACATAACTCTTAATAAAGCATTTTTTAAAAAATCTTTGCAGGAAGAGAAAGCTTCACCTTCATCCCAAGTTAGCAGTCCAGTGCTTATCTTACAGTGCCACCAAGCTCATGGTCATGCACACGTACTTGAAATTGCTACTTTGACCAGGGAAATGGAATAGTCTAGTTAATGAGGCTTTAGTCAAGTAGCCATCCCTGGTGCCCTAGTTGCACAGTGTTTACAGTGCTCAGCTTCTAATCTAAAGGTCAGAAATTCGAGCCCACCAGCTGGGCCTCAGGAGAAAGATGTGGCATTCTGCTCCCATAAAGATTTACAGCCTTACACACCCAGTGGGGGTAGTTCTATTATGTTCTATAGAGTCACTATGAGGTGGAATCTACTCAACTACAGTGGTTTGATAGGACCATGAAGTGAATAGGTTAGACTGCTCTCCAAGCATCTCATAGATTTGACAGCATTGTTAGAGTAGAGGTGGAAGCAATTTTCAGAAGGGTACTAAGTAGTCTAGCAAAATATAAGTCTGCCAAACTGGTATTTAAATGGTCTTAGCCAGGTTATTCTAATTACATTATGAAATGTGGGAAACAATAAATAAGTAGACATGTGATTATTTTTAGGTATCATCTTACAGAAAAGACACTTCATCACCTAGCACTAATTTATGCAGCTTTGGTTTCATTTGGCCTAAAATCTGAAGAACTGGATGTAAAGGTATTCTTTTGCAATATTTATGTTCATAAGTATTTTTCATAAACCAAATTATACTAAAACACAAGTGCTCAATAAGAAACATTAAGTAAGTAAATTAAAAATTGTTTAAAATCCAAATAAAGAATAGTTTTTGTTTTAAAATAACATTTTATTGTGTTTTTGATGGGTTACATAGCAGTTTCATTTCCCATTCAGTAATATCTACACAGATTGCTTAGTGGCATTGGTTACATCTTTACAATGTATGAGCATTTTAAAAATACTTCTATTCTGATTGTACCATTAAGAACAGTTTTAAATTAATAAGAACTCTTACCAATTATAGACCTGTACTAGAAGTTCTTACTTTAAATAATTGAAAATCTTATTTTATCTGTTAATTGCTATTTAGATTTTTTTTTAACATGACAGGGTATGAAAAAATAAATATCACTTGATAAAGATATGTTCACTTGTGACAGATGTACTAAGCAATTAGCTGCCATAAAATGGAAATCTTAAGGGGCAGGGCTTCATGGCGGACTTGGCAGAAAGACCGTGTTGACCCCCATCAATGAAAGCACATAAAACCAGGTGAACCAGATTCAGAGGACTGTCCCAAAACTCTGAACTTCAGATAAAGTGACAGATAAGTGATTCTAGTGTTTACCAGGAGTAAGATTTGGAACAGGAGCAGGAAAGGAGATGACTTCTGGTCCAGGAAGGCCCTCATGTTCCACCATAGTCATTGTGAATGGGAGTGAGAGGAAAAAGGAACAAGAAAGAGCGTACTCCCAGTGTAGAAAACAGCAAGAATCTGCAGAAACAGAGGGGCAAGTGGTTTGTTTTTGTTTTGTTCCCCCCTTATCTTTTACTCTGTCTACTCATCTCCAGTTGGTGACCAGAGGGGAGACTTGCATGAATACACAACCCTAGGGAAGATTCAACATCACCCACACAAGGTTTTGTGACATGCGGTAGGACTGGAGCTGTTTGGTGCTACATGGGGAGGGGGGTGGAATTGCAGTGGGCCCAGGTGGGGACAGAAGAAAGAAACTTTAGATAAAGGGACTTAAGGGTAGGTGAAAAAAAGGACTTAAGGGAAGATCTGGGCCTGATCCCATTGGCATGGAATTTCTCAGTCAGCTTTAAAGACAAGAGTCCACTGGGTGACACTAAAGAATTACTCGTATTTTCCCACAACTTTTCTTTTTCTTTTTTTTAATGTTTTATTGTGAGTTATATGATAGTTTACATGAGAGAACTTTAGTTTTACATTCATTCCATCGTATATCATCTCATTGCCATGGTTCCAGTCCCCTCCATGCATCATCAACCACCCAAAGGGTATATCCCAGGAACCCGCCCCCTACACTTCCCCTTCCTCCCCCCAGTTTTCGGCCCACAGTCCC